ATCCTTCTGCATCAATTTTTCTTTTCTTGGACATTTTTGGGGAAATTTTATGAGTTTTCTTGGCCTCTCCAGTGACGAGATGCAGTCACTTCACGGGTAACAACTGCGGTGCATTGTGGGAGATGTAGTAGCGGCACAGAGTCACAACATAATAATAAATGATACCTTCTCAGCTTTTTTTTCCCACAAATTGCTACTTAACTGATGTAAAATTATAACTATTAAACACAAATACTATCCCACCAAACCACGTCACTTTAGAAAAACATGGAAAGCTGTCATATGCACTTTAAAACTACGCTAAGCGAATCGGGACATCCCTGTGTAATGACAATGACAGTTACAAAAGGTTCGTTAAAGATGCCAAAAGGGCATTAAACAAAACTATTATTTCATTAATATTATTGAAAACCCGAAAATTACAAATTTCATATCTATTTTCCAGAAAAGCTACGCGGCAGGAGTCACTCAGTGCAAATCTTTAGCATGTGCAGTTAGCAACAAAACGTGAGAATTTTTACAAAACAAAATTAAAAGAAAATTTGTGTCAAGTTCATTTGGCTCAAATTTGGCACATTTTTTGACACAATTTCTGACACATGTTTTAGAAAAAGCCCTCAATAACTCAATAACAGACAATCATGTAACAAATATTAACATCATGGTGAAAATGGCATAGATCTTTGAGAAGTTTGGATCAAATTTACAACAAAACTGCAAAAAACAACAAATTTTAGTACGGAAAAAATGCTCACATTAACAAGTAGTATTTATCTTGATTCATATTTTGATGAGTCTAGAAACAAGATTGGCAAGTGATAGTCAAAATCATGATAAAAGACTTCATTGCAATTTTAACTTTGATTTCCAATAAAAGTGAGCAATTATATTATACTACATTACCCAGAATCCCTGTGTTGTTTTGGCTGTGGGGACATTGAGTGTTTTACAGACCCGGCATTTGAATCAGATTAAAACAGAGAGGGGAAGTAAATGCCTGAGATCCAGAACACACACTTCTCCAGTACTTTACGAAGAAGTGAGTCTGATCACTGGTTAATCTCAGTTTTCGGATGGGTGTTTGATTGACAGGTGGATTAGCCAATCAGGGACACACAAAAGAAAATATCATAGCGGAAAGAAAAACATGATGGATTTTTGTATAATCAATAAACGCAGCACTAAACTCTGAAGTGAGATTAATTTGATTTGATTTGTAAATCATGAGTGACCAATGAGCTCCTTCGTTTTACATGAGTGTCTGTCAAATCTGATTGGATGATAATTTTTCACTAGGCTTGAGACGCAATAGTGAAGACCAGACTGATATCTGTAAAGAAAACACAGAATGATGTCAGTCTGGATTTACCAAACAAGAAAAGTAACAAAGTACACGGTGAAACTACTGTACTGTAACTTTTTACTTCAATATATATGAGCCACTACACTTTACATATGATTTTAGGGGTTATTTATAGCACATTCATGGTAAGTTTTAAGATGTAAGATAAAACCAATGAGGTTCATTTGTTCTTCCAATAATTTCTGTTATGAGGTTCTTTTTTCTGACCAAGAGTTTGTTTTCATACCTGACCGTTTCGACTGCTCACAAGAGTTCTTCCTCATATATGAAATACCCTGCATGTCCTGCAATAAAACGTACATTGGGGAAACAGGGAGGGTGTTCAGTACACGAAAAAAGGAACATGGGACAGAACGCGACAAGGAAACAGTGAAGCCACAAAACACAAAGCAGAACAGGAACAACTCAAATCAGCCAGTTCTGACCACTGTAAAAGAGAGAACCACTTTATGGACTGGGACGGAGCGAACATCATTGGGACAGAGGACAACAAAGGTCATCGCTGAATTAAAGAGGCAATCAAAATACAGAAACATGCCCATGGGACTATAAACTGAGACGAGAGGGCTTTTTTACTCTCACACACCTGGGATACTGTCCTGAAGAAGTCAGACTGCAGATGGCGCTGTCGTCCTGCCTCCACCGGAAGGAAGACAGCGCCAAAACCTGTTTAAATCAGCTGACATCATCATCATCATGTGACCACTCTGAGGAAGACCACTAGTGAGCAGTCGAAACTGTCAGGTATGAAAACAAAGCCTTGATCTGGAAAAATTAACCTAATAACATGTATAAAGAGTCTGACGTCAGCCATAGAGTTTCGCTCCAGCGCAGAAGCTCATCGAGGCTGCAGTTATAGGAGCGAATTTGGATTAAAGTTTCATTTTTGGAATTCCGGCCACGAGTATCATAGCAACCAACCAAATCACGAGCGAGGTGGTTAAACCAGGTGGTTAAACCTCTTCTTGTTAAACCAGCATTGTGGGCGCTTAGCAATTCCGTTATAACAAAATAATGATGTTGTTTTAATTGAACACATTCTCATATTAACGAAAAAAGCTGTAAATAAAGTAATCCACAATTGGAAGTTGGCATTTTTCCTGTAATTATCTGCATCAGCTTCGGTCTGATTTGAATGCTCTGTCTGTAAAACAACCCTTTTACTCAGTGCAAAGTGTTGAAAACAGATGATGCAGTTATGTTCTGCTTTTCACAACCTCACGATAAAAAAGCTCTTATTCTGATTTGAGAGTTTTGTGAATTTCAGTGTCACCAAGGCTAAAACAAAAAACCTCCACTTAGCAGCAATGGAGGCCACGCTTTCAGTAACTCACTTCCTTTTTGGGGAATAAAAATATGCAAATCTATAGTTACAAAAACAACAATTTGGACAACATTAGCTCGCGTGTTGTCAAAATTTCAGGGCTATAAAACATTGCTTTAAAACCACTTCGATCACCAACACATTTGAGAAGGCCTTGACTGAACAGAGGAGGAGTAAATGAAAAGGTAATTGGCGAAAAGGTTGGTTGAATTGGATGTGAACGGGGGAGGAGAGAGAGAGAGAGGTGTTCTGAAACAACTGGAGGTGTGACGAACAAACCTGCGTCCTGTACTGAGCGTGCCCAGACCTGATGGTGGCTACGGGAAGCCACACAGGACAAATAGCACCAGTGTGAAATAAAGCTAATGCTAAAAGCTAATTTAATTACCCTATTTAAGGTAGATACATTATATTAATTTGATTATAGGTTGCTTTCAACATTGTCCCTATAAGTCCCCATAAGTCCCAAAATAGTGTGTAAGATTGTGCATTCTTCTGTCACTGTGTTTTTTTTGCTTTATGGTCATTCACAAACATGGATTTCTGTATTTTGGCTAAACAAATGACAATTTATGCTCCTCTTTACTGTTGGCGAAGATCAGATTAGTCAAAAATTGTGACAGTCCTGTTTAAGTCCTGGTTTAGAGTTGATGTAGTCCTCGTTTAGTCTTATTTTAGTCCTAGTTTGGATCAAATTGGTCAAAAATAGGGACACCTGGGACATTTCTTGTATGAAACTGGGACAAATCACTGATTTTGGATAAATCTGCTGGGACAGGGGACACAGGGCTCAAAACTGGGACTGTCCCGGGTAAATAGGGTCGTCTGGTCACCCTACTCCATCTGAAATCATGAGATCATTCAGAATGTCAGCCCATGTTCTAATGGTTTACCCTCATCATTAGTAGCCGTCAATAGACCTATGTACATTTATTTTTTCGGACTATAAGTCACACTTTTTTTCATGGTTTGGGTGGTCCTGCGACTTATACTCTGGTGCGACTTATATATTAAAAATTTCAGACTGACAGCCGCGAGAGGGCGTTCTGGGCTCGTGTGTCAGTATCTAGTACTAATACTACTCATGTACCACTGTCACTTCGCACTCTACTGCGCATGTCTCCTCTAGAAATAGCCGCTGACTCGCTGCAAATAGTGAAATATTCAGAATGGTAATCGAGCAGCAGAAAGAAAGTTTGGAGTGAGTGAAAAACTTGTGAGGGACTGGTGGAAAGCGGGGATGGAGAACACAGCTTCACGGCAACCGGGCGGATGTGCCATGTAACTTTCCTGGAAGTTACTGGATGAATCGACAAAGCCTGAACTTCAATGACACTGAAACCATCCTGTCGGGATTCAGAAAGGCCAGAATAATTCTAACTGGGACTGATGCTGAGTCTGACGACAGCTACACAGAAGAGGAAGCAGCACTCTGTTTATATGATGGATCTATGGTTTATCTCCAGAGGTCGAGTAGAAGTGACACCAAGGATGAAGAATTTAATGGATTTAGTGATTTGGAGTGAGACTGTGAGCTTGGTAAACTTATATTATTTATGCTATAATTATCTGAATAACTGTTAGTATTAATAACTATTCCGCCTGTTGTTCTTTATTCTGTTGTTATTACTATAACTTGACTTTCAAGATGAAATGTCGGTTCCTGGTCTCTGATTTTACAAAATACATTTCCCCAAAATGTGCGACTTATAGTCCGGTGCGACTTATATATGATTTTTTCTTCTTCATTGCGCATTTTTTGGCTGGTATGACTTAAACTCCGGAATGACTTATAGTCCGGAAAATATGGTAGTCATTTTAGATCAACATTAATTTTATTATTTCCATCATAGGTTAACATTTAGACCCTGTTAAATCTGTTTTTTTTCCCCTCAAAGCAATAACTTTTTCATAAAATTGTACATCTCAGAGTAGTTTTCAGACTCAATACTTTTACTTCTACTTGAGTAATATATTATACAGTGTAACAGTACTCTGACTTAAGTAAAAGTTGGTTATTGGTTCTTGTGTTTTTTGTGTCTGTCCAGATTTATTTCAATGTTTTATCCGTCAAATTATAAATCCGATCTTACTCGAGTACTAGTTTCCACATATACTTGTTAGCTCACTACTGTGTACTTCTACTTGAGTAATAGTGAGTGAGAGTAGTACAATGATTAGCTTCCCTATCACTTCTCATACTATAAAAAGTATATAGAATCAAATATCAGTTGTTTCAGAAGACCTCTACTATCAGCCAATAGAGAACCCTCTCCTCCTCCTCTTCATCGCATCCCATCATGCATCAGTCCTCAGACACTTCCTGTGGCCTGGTTGTGTTGTCTCCATCTGTCCGTTCCCCCTCTCTCCCCCTTTCTTTCCTTCTTTCTTTCGTTGTTTGTTTATTTGTTCGTTGCTTTTGGTGCTCCGCTCTCCTCCTCCATGTTTGGATTTTACATAAACTGCATCTGAAGTGAGACAGAAGAAACATCAGTTAGTTTGGGATTTCAACATCTGCTGAGAAAAAAATCAACTCTGCTCAAAGCAAATGAGATATCTGGCATAGTGTAACTGCATTAAAAAGTCCTCGGTTAGACCTGGTTTAGATCTGGGTGAGACCAGGGTTAGTCTTGGTTTAGTCCTGGATTAGTCCTGGATTAAGGGCCGTTCACACCAAAGCGCCAAAAAACGCCTTGATGCCTCTATTTGGACGCCTTTGCATTTGAATTTTTAGAGCCCGGTCCCGGTCTTTTCCTGAAACAATGTCAGACCAGACTGCCAGAGAGACTTTAGTGTTTTTATAACATAAAAACATCAGCGGAGGAGATCGGGTCAACGACTGGGGCATATATATATTTATACTCCGCTAATGACACTGGATCAGTCCTGGTCTAGTCCCGGTCTACTCCCGGTCTAGTCCTTGTTTAGTCCCGGTCTAGTCCTGGTGTAGTCCTGGTGTAGTGCTTGCGATCAGCTCGGTGATTGTGGTGTATATATTTATGCTCCGCTCATGTTTGTGGCTCTTGCTTCCTGATAATAACGTCGCTGGATACTCGTCCCTGATTGTTTGACGCGGTGCATCTGACGCAAAAAGTTCAGCATTTTCAACTTCTGACGTTGACGCCTTGGACACGCGTCTAGAGCATCGACGCCAAAAAGCTAAAGTCGTGCTGCGTCGATACCAGATTCGCGCCGCAAAAACGCAGGATGCCCTAGACGCGCGTCCACATAGAAACTGGACGCTTTGACGCTTTGGTGTGAACGGCCCTTTAGACTATTCCTAGTTTATAGCTGGTATAGACCTAATTTAGACCTAGTTTAGTCTTGGTTTAGACATGATTTAGATCTGGTTTAGACCTGGGTTAGGCATGGGTTAGACCTGGTTCAGACCTAGTTCAGACCTGATTCAGGCCTGGTTTAGACCTTGGTTAGACCTGGGTTAGTCCTAGTTCAGTCCTAGTTTAGTCCCCATTTAGACTTCTTTAGACCTGGATTAAACCTGGTTTAGTCCTGGTTTAGTCCTGGTTCAGTCCTGGTTTTGTCCTGGTTCAGTCCCCATTTAGACTTTTTTAGGCCTGGTTTTCACCTGGTTTATTCCCAGGTTATTCCTGGTTCAGTTCTGCTTTAGTCCTGGTTTAGTCCACATTTAGACTTTTTTAGACCTGGTTTAGGCCTGGATTAGTCCTGAGTTATTCCTGGTTTAAACCTGGTTCAGAACAGATTATATTTTCATACACTGCACATCAAGACTTCTGTCAATGTTCAAATAAAACACTTTTATTCTCACAGGAAAAGAGCCTGAAAACTATTATTGACAACATTTTCCACAAGTACCTTCACGTTTTTCAAAATTTGCAGCCTAGTCTTTTGATCTTATAACGGAATCCTCTGATGAACTCCACTGCACCTTCTTTTTAGAAATAAATATGTCTAAAAGCATCTTTTTTTCTAGGTATTTCCAAATCATTTCAATAGAATGTATTTGGCTCAGTAAGTGCATGTTCTTTTCTCCAATGACCAATTTTTATTACTGATACAAAATACCTTGAATTCAAAAATCAACTTCAAACAACTCCATGACTTTTACCTCGTCTAAACAAAGAAAATCATGTACCCACATACCCAGATACCTGCCCCGTTATCATCTGTTATGTGGGCGTGTACCTGTGCTCCAGGGAGGGGGGCGAATGGGTTGGTGGGTCTGAGCACAGGCTGGTTGTACATCATGGGCTGAGGCGCCATGACAGGGACCCCCCCCATCTGACCCATCGGAGGAGGGACCTGAGACACAAACACATAAACATAATTAAAGGTGCACTGTGTAACTTTTCTGGAGAGGGTCTGCAATCTTTTCATCTCCATGAGGATGTTGATGCTTTGGTTTACACTGTCCACAGTATGGCATTAAACAAATCAGTCTGGCATTAATATCTTCATGGAGACCAAACTGGAACAAATTACAGGTCAGATCTGTGGAGAGGCGAGTCCACTCACAGTCAGAATAGAAATTTCTATGTATTTGTATTTTTGAGCTACAAAACCACCTGTAATTGAATAAATATAAGGTAGAGATGTTTAATGTCATACTGTGGAACATTCCAGGCAGAGAAATTACATATCCATAGAGACAAGCCCCCAACCAAAAAGTGACATAGTGCACCTTTACACTCACCATTCCATAGACAGGCACTTGAGGTGTGGCCATGGGGAACGCCACAGCAGCCGGACTCTGAAGAACAAAACAAAACACAAACACAAGAGTCAGTGAAGGCAGATTAAATGAACACGCAGCTCATCAAAGTGTAATAGGGCCAGTCTGATGTAGACCTGGTTTAGATCTGGGCTAAACTTGGTTTAGATCTGGATTAGATCTGGTTTAAACTTAGTTTAGTCTTGGTTTAGAGCTGGATTAGAGCTGGTTTAGAGCTGGTTTAGAACTGCATTAGACATAGTTTAGACCTGGTTTAGTCTTGGTTTAGAGTTGGATTATACCTGGTTTAGGTATATACCATCTCTGGTTTAGACTTGGTTTAGTCTTGGTTTAGACCTGGTTTAGTCTTGTTTTAGTCCTAGTTTAGACCTGGACCTGGTTCAGTCTTGGTTTAGCCGTGGTTTAGTCTTGGTTTAAAGATGTATTAGATGTGGTTTAGATCGGGATTAGACCTGGTTTAGACCTGGTTTGGTCTTGGTTTATAGCTGGATTAGACCTGGTTTAGTCTTGGTTTAGACCTGGTTTAGTCTTGGTTTAGACCTGGTTTACTCTTGGTTTAGTCCTAGTTTAGACCTGGTTTAGTCTTGGTTTACCCGTGGTTTAGTCTTGGTTTAGTCCTAGTTTAGAGCTGGATTAGACATGGTTTAGATTGGGATTAGACCTGGTTTAGCTCTTGTTTAGTCTTGGTTAAGAGCTGGATTAGACCTGGTTTAGTCTTGGTTTAGATCTGGTTTAAAGATGGATTAGACCTGATTTAGATTGTGATTAGGCCTGGTTTCGTGTTGGTGTAGACCTGGTTTACATCTGGTTTAGTCCTGGTTTAGAGCTGGTTTAGAGCTGAATTAAAACTGGACTGCACCTTTGTCTTGGTTTAGATATGGTTTAGTCTTGGTTTAGTCCTATTTTAGTTCTAGTTTAGACCTGGTTTAGTCCTGAATTAGATTTGGTTTAGTTGTGGTTTATTCCTGGTTTATTATTCGTTTAGACCTGGTTTAGTCTTGCGTTAAACCTGGTTAAATCCTGGTTTAGATCTAGTTGAGAACAGATTGATATTCCCCCATTTCAATCCAATCTCAAAACGTTGCAGATTTGTGAAAACTCGTGGTTGTGTAAACAGTCTGTTAGCCTGTTAGCGCATTGATGGAGAGCACGTATGCTCGCAGCCAAACAGCGCAGCATGTATCAGAGGTACTTAACAGTCTCCCACTGGGACCATCATTAGCCTAGGCTTTTAAAAGAAGAGAGACAAGCCTGCATTCAGCTCTGCTCTCTGCTCCATCCACTTCACCCACACAGGCAATTTGTTTAGCTCCATGTAGCCTGGCAAACCAGACTGATCTCTGTAGTTTTCAGACAGACGTATACAGAATGGTCACTGTGCCCTCTGTTAAGTCTCAGACCAGAACTACACATCATGCAATCAGGTCTACTTCACTTTATTTAAGTGCACAGAAAAGCAGGCGCACAAAGAAGAACAGTTCAAGTATTGGTATCGAAAAGCAGGTATTGTTTATGGTCCTATATTACACAAAATTGATTCTACCGAGTTGTTATCTCTTCAAAAACATACCTGGAGTTGTGTTTTGTTTCATTCACACATGTTTGAGTAACCCTTTATTATTAGTCTGTGTGCATCTCCAAAGCTCAAAATGCTCTGTTCTACCTTGTGATGTCATCTAGTGGTAGTCAGAAAATACTGTAGCATGGGCACAAACAAGGATTCATCAAACACATGTGAGTGAATAAAGTCAAATACAGCTCCAGGTACGAATGTGATGAGGGAACAATGTTATAAAACGGTTAAAATCTTTAAGGAATCGACACAATTGGTGTTCAGGCTTGATGTCAAACCATTAGCCTCGCCCAATTAGTCCTTTCTGCCGCTGTGATATTGCACCATTACAGAGGCTGTGTCCAAATATCCACCCTAGTCTCTCAGTCACTACATAAGCCCGCACTCATTAGCGCCCTCTTTAGTGCACTCATTCACAGAGCGAATAGGCTCTATTCACGCTTATGTCACAAACCAGAAAGACATTTGGAAAGATGCGATTACAACTTCCCAGGCCAAGTTTTCGTCAGCTCCATGTCATTGTAGCGTTACGTTATGTTCAGCAAATCAACAATTACAACCAGACCTCAGTTTGCCTCATTTCCTCACTGACACACAACTCTGAGCGCACTGGATACATGCGATTAAACAGATGAGGCGCCAAATTCAAGATGATTCCAAACAGCACATACGTATGCAGGCTTCATTTTAACATTGATGACATTTACTTCAATGGATTTTATCACAGTTAATCGCAGAGCCTATTCAGACATGCAGCTCACTACATTCAGGTGACATGACTCTGGTGTCCAGGTGAAAAAGAGTCTGCTAAACTCAGATAAAACTGACATTTATGACAGTGTTTATGGACTAATAATAATCACACACGTTTTTATCGCTCCACAATCCAGAGCGCACTATACACGAATCCACTCGGGTGTCCAGCACAACTTCAGTAAACTACAAAGCCGCACCACCCGCAGCGCAACGAAACACACCCGCAGCCACACTCATCACTCCACGCCGACAAGGAATGGAACGGCGGAACGAACCGAAAAAGCGAGTGCAATGTGCCACTTCTAGCCACAACTGAACAACTGAGTCACTGCGAACACGCCGACAATCCGTTGGTCCCAGACAGCACCCTCCCTACACGCCACAACTGAACAAAGCCCAGAGTCACCGTGAACGCACCAACTGTTGTGTTTTGTTTAAAGTCCGGTGCGGTTTATTTGTGAAAAAAGTTCAAAAATAGACCATTCAATGACAGTGCACCTTATAATCCAGAGCGCCTAATAGTGCGGAAAATACGGTATTGCTTCTTTAACAACTAGAGCGAAAGTAACACTAGCACCTTTACACCGTAACGCTTTATTTAAGCATGTTTTATTCAGAATCACGATATACAGCGCCATAAAACAGAGCTTTTATCTGCTTCATTGAGTCGGGCTGTGTCCAGTTAAACACCTGTCACTGAACGCTATTGTTTTCTGGACTCTTTCCCGACTTTTTAATGTGCACTGTCGAAAATTTAATACATTTAATAAATAGTGCCCTAAGTAGGGAATAGTGTCGACATTCAGACGCGGTCAGACAATCAAGTCCCAGGCAGTTGGTTTTCCATGATTCTTAGTAACAGTATGCTTGATAGAGGTGACCCTGTCCGTAGCTTTTGTATTAGTGGATACCATAGACTGTATTAATAGACAGAGCGAGCCTGCAAGCTGCCAAGTTCCAAATAGAAAGTGAGCATGGGCGTGTTTTCGGCTCCATCGACTCTGGCTCCAGTCGCTCCTCTCTGTAACTGCTACTGTCAGACTCCTCATTTTAGTCTTCATATTAACTCTCTCTACATGATCCTGGTGTTTTAATTTCACTAATTTGACCGTAAATCAAGATATGAGCATGAATAACAGATTAAAGAGCAATTTACTATGACAAGAATAAATCAGGTACAAGCCCTTTAAGTACATGTCCCCCACTCTTTCTCCGTCTCTCCCTCCCTCCTCCTCCTCTCCCTCCTCCTCTCTCCTCCCTGCTGTCTGCTGATTGATGCTTTGTCGGCATAGAACCATCTTTCAAACTGAACTTTTAACATTCCCTTTGCAGTCTCCTTCAAAGAGCCACTTTCACTGTGAAAAAAATAAAATAAAAATCCACAACTTGAAGTGACTTGTACTCAGAATATTCAATCTTCTTTGAGGAGTTCTGACTAATAATGATTTTTTGTTTTTAAATTTTCACACCAAATAAGAAAAATAGACTTTCCAAAAATCACTGGATGGAGGTTTCCCAGGTCTAAAGATGATGTCATCATTATTCTCTGGGGGTGTGATGTTAACTGTAAGCACTGCTCTGTCTGAAGCTCTATTAGACTTAATTTTTTTTTACAATCTGACCAGAAGGAGATGATTTAGTTGGAGCTGATTTGTGCTGTTGAACAAGTCTCTCACATATTAAATTACAGTCATTAGCTAGTTAGTATTAGCCAACAGTTTCAGTTAGTCACTCTGACCTTTTTGTTAAAAATCAAACACCTAAACAGGACCATGCACACTCGTATTGATCACAGGCTCCTGAAAATGTGCTGTTTGAATCCATTTTGTATTTTTCCTGTATTCCTGTATTCTTTCTTTCTCTTTTTCCTTTTGAGAGTGTTTACTAATGTGTGCATTGTGTCTCCATGGTAACATCTGAACATTCCACCATAGAGAGACAAGTAAAACACCCCCTGAGTATCAACAGAACTAAGGTGCAGGTGTCAGATGCGGAAGGCTTGTGTGAGCATTCATGAGTATTCCCGAGGACCACATGAACGCAGCACGTGTCTATGGCAGGATGTCCAGGAGTTACCATGGAGACACAATGAAATTCAAACTCAGAAACAACACATTTTCTGTGATCGATACCGTCTATGTTCACTGTCATCTCGGTTTGTTGTTACGCGTGGGGATGTGTACCACTGTTCCTCAGTTTGTATGGGCAGGGGAACAGTCCGAACTCAGACTTCTGAACCAGCGGGAGCAGCTCCGGTTCAGGTCGAGCCCCGATGAGCTGGACCGGGGAGTGGTGTTAGGTGCCTCGCCCTGAGAAGCACTTTCCCCGGGGAAGAACTAAGAGCACGGAGGACAGACGCTCAGAACAAGATATAATGAACCAAACGGGATTCGCGCTTCTGTCCGGATGTTTTGCACCACCTCGGAACCAGCCGCAGCCCTGGAGCACAGAGGACAGGAGCAGCCCGCCCACACCTGTAGTCCACAGCGCACTCTCACTTTTGCCACACGGATCCACTGGTCTTGCTTGCCCCCGTGTGGACCCAGCACATGGAGGACGGAGCCTATGGACCTGTCTGATCAACCCGCTCGGAGAATGACCAAAGACCAGGGAGGGGCTGCACGCTATAGTGAGTGCTCCTGTGTATTTACCGCTGTTAGACGGACTCAGAGCTTCTGCTCCGGGCTGATGTGGTGAGTTGTGTACAGTTATAGACCACATACTGCTGTTTTATGAGTTCATGATGATAACTTGGGATGAGGACGGCTCGCGGTGTTAACAGGGAACCTCGGTACCTTTCATAATTACATAGGCAACAGGAAACAGAGATACGGGTACACAAAAATGATACAAACTTTTTTCACCATATTGCAGTGCATCATCAAGTCAGAGGGGTGATCCAACGCGCATGCGCTGAACGACCAGAATTATTTTTTAAGCGGAATAAACATTTACATGATCGTGGAATAAATTAATTTTGCTTTAAAATCGGAATAAACCACCAATTTAATTCGGATTTAAGTTTAATTCCGAATAAGTTTAATTCCAAATAATCATTAGGATTTACGTGTTCACATGTTCTTTTTTTAAAGCGGAATTAATTTGTATTAATTATTTATTAATTAATTTAATATTTTATAGGAATTAAAGCTCTCATATAAACGGGGCATATGTTACTATATGTGACTGTAATGCCATTTGAAAATCATCTCACCTTTATAGTTCCAACTAAGTCAGTTCTTTCTGGTCAGATTGTGCTAAAACAAAACTCAGATTAAAGTCTAACTTGAGTAGCTGAGCCTCAGACAGAGCAGTGCCTATAGTTAGATTCACTCACCCAGAGAATGGAGTACAATACACGTAACACATTCCAGAAAAAACTAGCTGTCGTCACCTGTAGACATTATGCATGCATATTATTTTGAAAGGCTGTGTCCTTGTGTTTAACAAATCAAAACATGTACATTTGTATTCAGTGAGTGCAATGCAAATATGAGTGAAAAACATGTTCAGGTTTATGCGGTAAGTACTTACATAACTAGTATAGAACATTCCATTCTGCAGCGGAGGAGACAAAACAATAGAGAGATAAAGACGAGAAAGAAAGATTGAGAGCGAGAGATAGACAGAAGAAAGGATGACAAGGTTAAGACGAACAGGTTCAACTCAGTTACATTTACTTGAGTAACTTTTTAAAGAAATTGTACTTTTCAGAGTGCTTTTCTAACAGCATACTTTTACTCCTACTCAAGTAATATTTTTTTTATTGAAGTAACAGTACTCAGTACTTGTGCGTAAGACTACAAATGACAAAAACTTCATGTGACAATATGAAATGATTTGAACATTTGTGTTTCTTGCAGAGCTCCTTCAGAAATTATTCCGTTTGTCACATTTTTGTGTCTATCCTTTGATAATACCAGATGTTGTGCATTATTTAAGGTTTTGTCCTTCAAATTCTAAATCAGATATTACTCTTTAAAATGTTGTTTCCTCATCACAAACAGACCTGGAGTTGTGTTTTGTTTCATTCACACAGGTTTAACTCACAAACCCATTTAGGCTGAGTTCTTCTCTCAAACTGAAAACTCTCTGTTCCACCTTGTGATGTCATGTGGTTAAACAGAACGTGCACTGTGTTTTTATACTCCATACACCTTCACTAGAATCATTTGGATAATTTGAATTTCCAATCTCTGCTAAACTAAAGGTAAAATGTAGCTGCTAACTTGAAGACTACCACTTCATGACATCACAAGGTGGAGCAGAGCATTTTGACCTTTTAGATGTAGATAAAGGATTACTCAAAAATGTGTAAATTAAACAAAGCACAACTCCAGGTATGTTTTTGGTGAGGAAACATGATTATAACATGGCTTAAAGCTCACAAGAGTCAATTTAGCATAATATAAGACATTGAAGTTTCTCTTATTTGAGTAACTTCTTGAAGCACTACTTGGTACTTCTACTTGAGTAATACCATTCTGAAGTAACGTTACTCTTACTTCAGTACAATTTCTGGCTACTCAACCACCTAAGCTCAGGACACAGGAAGAGAAAGGGATGACGGTGCAAAATGGACAGATTAGAACAAAACGATGATAAATGAAGAAGGAAGGAAGAGAGGGATAAAAATCAGAGGTGGAGGAAATAAGAAAGTGCAGGGTTAGTGACAGTTTGGCTTCGTAAGCTCAAACTCAAGAGTCCAGAGATCAGGAGCTGACCAGACCTGCCAAATACGATCAACATGCACATGGAAAACTGCTGCACTATGGGAAAAATCCATAAAAAACACACATGTACTGTACTAGGCCAGTCATAATAACTCACCCTGAAGTTAAAGTGCACAAAACTGGTTTTCATGTTTTTCTAATTATAACTTGGTTTGGTGGGTAGTACCTGTGGTGAATATTTATCATAGTTTTAAATCAGTTGGTTTATCCCTGGTTTAGTCCTGGTTTAGTCCTGGTTCAGTCCTGGTTCAGTCCTGGTTCAGTCCTGGTTCAGTCCTGGTATAATCTTGTTTTAGTCCTGTTTTAATCCTGTTTTAATCCTGGTTTAATCCTGGTTTAATCCTGGTTTAATCCTGGTTTTGCCCTGGTGTAATCTTTGTTTAGTCTTGGTTTAGACCTGGTATGGTCCTCTTATATTCACTACTTTATTCCCTGGTTTAGGTTCAGTCTTGGTTCAGTCCTGGTTCAGTCTTGGTTCAGTCCTTGTTCAGTCTTGGTTCAGTCTTGGTTCAGTCTTGGTTCAGTCCTGGTTCAGTCCTGGTTCAGTCTTGGTTCAGTCCTGGTTCAGTCCTGGTTCAGTCTTCAGTTCAGTCCTGGTTCAGTCCTGGTTCAGTCCTGGTTCAGTCCTTGGTTCAGTCCTGGTTCAGTCTTGGTTCAGTCCTGGTTCAGTCCTGGTTCAGTCCTGGTTCAGTCCTTGGTTCAGTCCTGGTTCAGTCCTTGGTTCAGTCCTGGTTCAGTCCTGGTTCAGTCCTGGTTCAGTCCTTGGTTCAGTCCTGGTTCAGTCCTGGTTCAGTTAAGTGGCAATTTGTGGGAAAAAAAGGGTTGAGAAGAAAAGTACAAAAATACAGAAAGTATTGGAGACTATATTTCCTTTCCACTTCAGAATGTGTTACTGTGACAGGCCCAGTCATCAACACGGATACTTGCATCCAAAATGTAGAGATAATTTCCACACTCACCACATGTTGCAGGGGCATGGGTGGGGGGCCCATGGGTGCAGGGCCCCATTGGGTGGTGGACATGGTCTTGTTCTGCCAGTTCTGTCCCCCTGTCAGCTTCTTTTCTCCGGGCTGCGTCCACTGCATCTCCGGCCTGAGGGTACGGAGGAGGGAGTGAGATTTCCCAAAGGTTTTCCCAAATTCTCAGGAGCTTAAAGGTGCATTGTGTAATTTTTCTGGTGGAGGGTCCGTCAAATGCTTTTCTCCATGGAGATGTTATTGCTTTGTCTGGAATGTTTCACAGTATGGCATTAGGGTGGGAGTAGCTCCGTTGGTAGAGCGTTTGTCCACGAATCCAAAAGTTGGCATTTTGAATCCCGCTCTTGACACAAACAATCAATCAATGGTTGAGCGGTCAGATCCACTAACCCACAGGTTGGTGTGATTCCAGCTCCCACAGATGAATGTGGTCGTCGTGTCCTTAGGCAAGACACTTAACCTACCTCGCCCCCAGTGTTCGCGTACACTGGTGTATAAATGTGTGTGTGAGTGGGTGAATGGATCCTTGTTGTAAAGCGCTTTGAGTTAGAGGTCTGCGTGGGACAGAATTTTCAGTCCCTCTCCTGCCCGCACCCGCAAAGTATTGTAATTTTCAGTCCAGCTCCCGCCCGCATCTGCGATATTTTGTCCTGCAAAATCCCGCAAGATGGGAACGTTCGCTTTCTTAAGCTCTATCAAACATGGAAAAGTGGAAAGGAATTGTCTAAAATATGCACAAGATTAGACCACATCCGCCAACTTAGGCTGCTTAAAATGTTTTTATTAATGCCAAATAAAACATCCAGCAGAAATGATGTATAATATGCATACATTAATCACTGGTATATTTTACTTTACACTCATGTTTAGTTTGCGGGATTGCAGTTTTTCATCCTACCTGCCCGCTCAGGCATTGTGCAGTCCTGCTCCTGTTCGCACCCACAATGAGCTTTCAAAATGCGTCCCGCGCTGCACTGTTTTGCGTCAGGCCCACGGGGCTCTACATTGAGTGTACTGAAGGTGGAAAAGTGCTGAATAAAAATGTGATCATTTAGCATTAAATCTTTCTATCATCATGGAGACCAAATCAAGCCAAGTTACAGGTCAGTTCTGTGGAGAGGCAACCCTGTTCACATTCAAAATGTTTTTCAAGGTATTTTTGAACTATAAATCCACCGGTAATTAAATAAATGTAAGGCAGAGCTGTTTAAAGTCATACTGTGGAACATTCCAGGCAGAGCAATGGTGTATCCATAGAAAGAAGCAGGTGATGGACAAATTACTTACATAGTGTCTCTCTAACAATTTCAAAAATAACATATCCTTTACTTACTTCTTTGGGGTCCCAAAGTGCAGATCTAAAAACAGAAAAATAAGTTAGAAAAAAAGCTGATTAACATAGCTCTAACAGATTTTTAAAAAACATATAAATCAACATGCATCTTGCCCCAGTACAGATATAACGGAAAAGCAGCTTGAACATTGTGCACTGTCTACATCTAATTATAAAGCATTTTCATGGAACCAGGACGTAAGGCTGGTGCTCTGTTAGCATGCTAGTTGCTGTTAGTTTGCATTTTAATTTGTCAATTGCATTCCTTCCAATATGATTCCAATTAATCTTAGATAAGCGAGCACTAACAGCACTGTGGTAAGTCGGTCATGTTTGTACTGGACTTAGGACTTTTGTGGGTGTTCTACATGTATCTCTAAGTGGTGAAATGTTCGACATTTTTTCTGATCAGATTGTGCCAGAGTTTCAGACAGAGCAGTGCCTCCAGTTAGTGTGTAAAATGCACTCACTGCCGACGAGGTTCGCCAGAGAAGAGTCCAGGTCGTGTGCTAACAGTTTTCCCCCGGAGTGAAGGGCCATGGGGGGAGGAGGAGGCGGAGGGGCGGAGAGGGAGGGGAGGGTGGGCTTCAGCACTTCTCCCAGAGCATCGAAACCTGCGAGAAATCACAAGGACACCAGTATTTAGAATCAATACAAGGAGATGGAAGATTATAGACAGTAACAGACAGAGTAATTCAGTGACAGATCTGGACTATATATTTGTGATGTGTTTCCATCTATATAGTCCTGGTTAATCCTGGTTTAGTCCTGGTTTAGTCCTGGTTTAGTCCTGAATCAGTCCTGGTTTAGACCTGGTTCAGTCTTGGTTTGATCCTTGGTTTAGTCTGGGTTTAGTCCTAGTTTAGACTTGGCTCAGTCCTGGTTTAGTCACTGCTTTATTACCTGGTTTCTGTCTAGTTCTGGTCTAGTTCTGGTCTAGTCCTGGTTCATTCCTGGTTCAGTCTTGATTTGATCCTTGGTTTGGTCCTGGTTTAGTCCAAGTTTAGACCTGGTTCAGTCCTGGTTCAGTCCTGGTTTAGTCACTGCTTTATTACCTGGTTTATCCTTGGTTCAGGCCTGGCTCAGTCCTGGTTTAGTCCTGATTTGGTCCTGGTTTATCCTAGGTTTTATCATGATTTAGTCTTGGTTCAGTCCTGGTTTAGTCCTGATTTATTACTGGTTCAGTCCTGGTTCAGACCTGGTTCAGACCTGGTTCAGACCTGGTTCAGTCTAGGTTTAGTTCTTTCTTTACATCAGAAACTCCAGTACTAGTTTCTTACATTTTCATATTTGATGAAAAAGCAGCAAACTCCACAAAGGCCGTGCATGTGTGAGGAGAGGCCAGTTATGCAAGAATTTTGAATTGGTGACTCAATCATTAAGTTATAAAAGGTGTTTCTGAGTGGAGCCATGTTTTAAATCGTGTTAATTGGTCTTTTATAAATATATATTTTTTCTTTTTACAGTGCATTCACATCCTTCAATACGACTGAGTGGGAGAAATTTTCCATTTTCATTGCAGTTCTCTATTTCCATAGCGTATGCAATGATATGCCAAGGTCTATCAGAAATGCGTTTAAGGTAAGTGAGGACATTTTCGAAGTTTTCATTTTAAACACGTCCTGAAGAATTGACCAAAAGACTAAAATATGAACTGAAAAGCTAACACAAGACAGTACAGATCTAAACTACAGGGTTTACGTTTTTTTATACAGAATAAGACAGGAGATTTTGTTATTTGTGGATGAAAATACGGTACTTTAAAAAGATTTGCAAATTGCGTTCATTCAAAGAACCCATGGAAACACAGGGAGGGCATCTGACGCACAGGGACATTTCAGAACATATTTGTAGTCTAAACTATAGGTTTTAGCAGCTTTTACACAGAATAAGACCCCATGGAGACACAGGGTCATTTTTAGTTCTCAAAAAGGACATTAAATTACCTACTTATTCCCCATTTTTGATAATTATGCCCATTCAAATCGCCCAGAATAGTCAAACACACGGTACTTTGCTCGTTCACATCTTTAGACATGGTGTGAATACAGATATAAAGTGATTTTGTATTCGGCGTTTCTGGGTTTCTGCGTTCATTTCTCTTGGATGCTTTGACAGATTCTTTATTCCATCTTCAGTGACTGCATCAGACTTCCCTGACTCAGGAACTCTGCTTTGGGATTGATTTATCCGCTCGGAGCTGAAAATCATTACCGTGAGCAGATATGAGCACGACAGAGGGGCTATTTTATGTCGTAGCACTTACAAAGCGGTCAATGTTAAGAGCTAAAGAGGTAAGTGGACACAGAATCCCACTTAAAGGTCCTGTATTACACAAAATAGACTCTTGTGAGCTTTACGCCATGTCATCATTCTGGTACATCATCAAAAACATACCCGGAGCTGTGTTTTGTTTCATTCACATGTTTGAGTAATCCTTTATTATTATGTCTCCATCTCCAAAGCTCAAAATTAGGGATGTAACAATAACCGAAATATTGTCATAAGTCTCGTACTAATATCGAGAACTGTCAGAATATATGAAATTATAAGTTATTTTGCTTAAATGCATTGTTCTTTAGTAGGAACAGCTAATAAACATAGGGAACTACGTGTCCCATGATTCATTTCAGCACAGACAACATGAAGAAATATGATTTTTACTTGAATTCTTGGGATTCTGACAGTAATAATTTGCACCAAAATCTTGTCAAAGTATTTTAAAAGCAAAAAAGTGTCGTAGAAAAGTAGAAGTAGAAAAAGTAGTAAAAAGTAGAATTATATTTGCCACTCCAAAATATCGCAATAAATATCGTGCTGAGAGATTTGGATATTGTTACATCCCTACTCAAAATGCTCTATTCCACCTTGTGATGTCATGAAGTGGCAGTTTTCAAGTTAACAGTTACTTTTTACTTTTTATGGAGTTTAAAAACACAATGGATCACTTCCTATATTACCACATGACATCACAAGGTGGAAGACAGTTTGTTTGTTTCGTACTGTAGGTATTTTTACAGGCTTGGGTGGTATAGGGGGAAAAAAAATTATGATTTTTTTTTTTTTTTTGAGATATTGATGGATCTTGATTTAGAATTAGATTTTCCATTGATTTCACAAACATAAACAACCCGACATTTAATCAGAGCTGTTCAACATAAAAATATAATTAAATGTCTTCCTCGAAAGTCTCCATCTGCTCCAAAACACATGTTTTTACTGAGAGAGGACGGGCTGTAGACCTTTATGTTAAAAACTCCCTCACCCAGAGAGATGGAGAGGAACGAGGGAAGTGGGAGAGAGATGGAGAAAGGGAGCGAGAGAGAGAGAGAGAGAGAGGGAGGAGAGAGAAAGAGAGAGAGAGGAGACAGAAAAAGAGAGAGAGGAGAGAGCGGGATAGACAGAGCTAGAAACAGAGATAGAGAGGACAGAGAGAGAGAGAGAGAGAGAGAGAAAGAGAGAGGAGAGAGGGACAGACAAAGATAGAGACAAAGATAGAGAGGAGAGAAAGAGAGAGAGGGGAGAGAGAGAGAGAGAGAGGGGAGAGAGAGGGATAGTGCCAGAGAAAGAGAGGAGAAAGAGAAAGACAGAGAGGAGAGACAGACAGAGAGAGAGCGAGAGAAAGAGAGAAATAGACAAAGATAGAGACAAAGATAGAGAGGACAGAGAGAGAGAGAGAGAGTGCCAGAGACAAAGAGGAGAAAAAGAAAGACAGAGAGAGAGAGAGAGGGAGAGAGGGGGAGAGAGAGAGAGAGAGAGAGAGAAAGAGAGAGCAGATAGACAAAAACAGAGGGACAGAGGAGAGAGAGGGATAGAGACAGAGAAAGAGAGGAGGAAGATAGAGAGAGGAGAGATAGAGAGACAGTGAGAGCGAGAGAAAGAGGAGACGAATAGAGACAGAGATGGAGAGAGAGAGAGAGAGAGACAGAGAGAGAGGAGAGAGAGAGATAGACAGGAGAAAGAGAAAGTGAAGGATAGAGAGAGAAGTGAAGAGGAGGGGTAGAGAGAAGAGAGCTAGAGAGAGAGAAAAAGAGGAGAGAGAGGACGAGAGAGGGGAGGATGAGGAGGGCAGGAGAGAGGTGAAGAGTAAATTTTGTATGAAGTTGTAAAGCTGTTGTGAACAGATGGAGAAGAGGCGCCTGGGTGATTTTTGCTTTGTGAGGTGTGAACGGACACATGAGGAATACAGCGAGAGAGGGAGGAAACAGAAAGGGAGAGAGAGAGGGAAGAAGAAAAGGGTGGAGAGAAAGAGAGGGAGAGAGAGGGGCGGTTGAAGGGAGAAGAGAGAGAGAAAGAGGTAGAGAGAGAAGGATGGAGAGAACTAGAGGAGAGAGTTAGAGTGAGAAAGGGAGAGAGAGAAAAAGAGATAGAAGAGGGAGAGCAAGACAGGAAGAGAGAGAGAAGGAGAGCGAGGAAGAGAGGAGAGGAAGGGGGAGAGGAGAGAGGAGAATAGAGAGCGAGAAGAGAGTGAAAGCGAGAAAGAAAATGAAAGAGAGAGGAGAGAGGGAGGAGAGAAAGACATATAAGAGAGCAGAGAGGAAAAGGAAAGAGAGCGGTAGAGCCAGAGAGAGAGGTGGCAGTGAGGAGAGAGGGAGCGTGACAGACAACAAACAGAAGCAAACAAAGACAGTAATCAGACGGAGGAAGCGGTGAGAACGACAAAAAACAAGTTGTTACAAACTGTTGAAGAGACAAACTCAGAGAGACAGGATTTTGTATTTTTACCACAAGAATTTCAGTTTCGATTTGGTTTAAGATTTGCGTTTTATTCCATTTGACAGTGAGCTGGAGACAGGTCAAGTCTATGGTGGAGTTTCCTGTGTAACTGTCAAATTGCAGATTTGTTGACCTGGTTTATGGTTCATGTCTGTAATTTCTGGGCCTAGCCACATGAAACAAAAACTGACACAAAGTTTAAAGTCTTCTCTGTCAGTATAAATAAACAAAAGTGTTTTTTTTTCTTCACAATAGCTTCAGGAACATTTTGCAGATAAGTTTGGAGATTTCTTTCAAAAAACAGTGAATCGCCCATTGAGTTATACAGGCCCCGCACTCCAACTGAAATCATGACATCATCAACACCAGTTCACCCAAAGAAACAAAAGCAAAGCGAATACAGCAAATAGAAAACACCGTAATTATAGTTCTGAAGGGTTAGTTCAAAGCCAGCGAAGCCAGAGTAGGTTTTAGTTTGAGTTTGATCTTATGGCGTTACCGGCTGGCGTCTGGGGACCGTTTCCGTTAGTGGTTGTACTGGAGTTATTCCCAAAAACTGCGTCAAAATCTACGGTGGAGGTCTGGGCGGGCGGCTGGCTCTCCAATCCTGAAGGGGGCAGTACAGTCAGTCATACGGATACACAAAATATACAAAAATTTAAGCAACTTTATGAAGGGTTAGAGTTAGGTAAGTATGACTTAAATGCATATAAAGAGATTAAAAAAGATTGAAAGAGAAAACTGTACTACACACAACCCCGCCTCCTTCCTTTTAGTTGTAAGTGTGTGTTTTTTATGTATGTGTGTTAGTTTTATCTTTTGTTATGTTTTGTTATGTTTATTTACCTTCAAAATGATCAAAATTTCAAGATACTAAGAGTGCCAGGTTAAACTACTAACTTGAAAATGCTGTACTCTCTAAAAACAATGTATTCACATGGTTTATAATTTCACTTTCATTTATGACACTTCCTTAGCTCTATGTGTTAAGTGACTCCCCCTTCAATCAGCGTGTATCTTGCTAATGAGGTTTGTCAGGTTGTTGTTGTTTTATAACAAGTTTTTGTATATTTATGGAGAATTGCCGGGCTAAGTATTGGACAATTTTGAGAGTTAGGAGGGTTCCAATTAGCCAGGCTGGCGCCAACTAGTACCTCCGCTCAATTTCATTTCTCTTCCACGACAAGGTCAGGAATTGGAATACACTGGATGGTTTGCAAGAACCCTGGAAGTTGTAGACCGTGCACTGACCAATCAGTGAAGAGCTGTGAAGCCATGACCTCAAACTCAAGCGTCTGTCTGGGTCCCTTTTGTGGTACAGCACAACAGTAAACAAAGCAGTCGAGATGGATGTAGATGAAGACATACATTCTGTTTTGGCAACGATACCTGAGATTGAGGATTTGAAGGCCTTCTTCCCATGGGATTTGGCGCATTACATAAGTCATGACCAAATAGCAGAGATTGGTTAAATAAAAAAGTACCCACCTACCGTCCAGCGAATGAATCCTAATACTGCGAGATTAGACTGTTTCCAAGAAAGTGAAACCATCTGATGAATCAGGGTATGTTTGAATAGGGCCCAGGACAAATCACTGAAATCTTAATCTTAAAATCTCCTAAGGCATGTTTGTGATAAGAGAACAACATTATAACATGTTAAAAATCTTAAAAATAATAAATAAATAAATAAATATCCCCACTTTTACTAAAATTATTTGAGAGAAGACTGAAATCTGAACTTTATGTGGAGTTAATCTGATTAACTACGATTCAGGAGCTAGACCACACCTCAACCTCCACTCCAGGCAACCACAGCTTATCTCAACCACACCTCCAGTTACTCAGAAGCCCTATTTATACGGCCATCCTGACAACACCGCCTGTGTCAGCTCTCGACAAACCTTCCTCCCGTCCCTGGTGACCATTGTGGACTGGAGACGGTGCCCCCACCCTGATGGTCCTTGTAGTGAAATGGTCACATTCATATAGCACTTTTCAACCTTCTCTTCACTCAAAGCACTTTACATCAAGGAACCACTCACCTATTCATACACACACTCATACACAAGTGTACAAACACACTGGAGGCGAGAGGGGTTAAGTGTCTTGCCCAAGGACACAACAACAACCACAACAGCATTCATATGTCAAGAGTGGGATTTGAACAGCCAACCTTCGGATCAGGGGACAGGCACTTTAACAACTCAGCAACTGTCAGCTGCCCTTTAAACTAATCCAAGAATCCCATGCATTTCAGAACATGTTTGTAGAGTTCGAAACTACAAGGTTAGCAGCTTATTATTATTATTATTATCATTCTGCACCATTTCAAATAGTGATTTTGATTCGTTAGCGTTGCTTCTCAGTTGTAATCCATACATTACATAAAGTTGTTTTTTCCTTCTGTGTAGAGATGCAGAATAATGTTGTACACCGGTGTGGGGAGGACTTCACCGCCCCCGTGCTCTAATCCTTTTTCTCAGACTCACAGATGTTACAGAGACACTTCGCTGCTGTTTTGTTGTTGCTTAGTAACTTGGGATTGAAAACACGGAGAGGAGCAAATGTAGATTCACGGTAGCGCTGTGTCATTTTGTGAAAGATTGTGATGTGGCTGTGACAAATTTTTACACAATCATTTCATTTATATGTGTCTTCATTTATATGTGCCTGTGAAGACCTATTGTACTTGTTTCTGCCATAGAGTTATAATCTGACACCCCTGGATCATCCTGTTATAATATTGACATTTTAATTGCAATATTGATCTAAAACAATTTAATAAAAGAAACAATTCCGCCGACTTCTGCGTTGGAAAACTGTGGTGCCCAATTGGAGCTGACGTCGGTGTAAACGTCATCACAACACAGAGAGGCAGATGTTTCTTTTCATTTGTACCAAAATGACTACGCAACGCTGCCGAAACCTACGTGTATCAAAAATAAAATTGGAGAAAGTAAGTGGAGCTCTGGGTGTGTGCCAGAGACGGTGATAAAGCTGATCTGCAATATGGCGTCTGGAAAATAAGTGATTAAAAATGCTTAAACATGCACGAATCACTCCAAATACAACTGCAGGTGAGTAAAGGGTGAGAGGAAACAATTAAAATATAGTTAAAATCTCTGAAAAGTTGATTTAGCAGAATAGGCCTACTTTTAAACAGAGTAGATAACCTCCGAAGTTTTACCTCTTATGTAAAAAAATTGGGAATTTCATCAAGTATAATAATGAAAAAATACAGCTCCAGGTATATTTTTGATGAGGGAACAATATCATAACATGGTAAAAAGCTCAAAGAAGTCAATTACGCATAATTTATGTTCTTTAACAGACAAAACCAAGATTAAAGGTGCATTGTGTAAATTTTCTGATCCCGGGTCAGGCAAATGCTTTTCTGGTATGGCATTAAATATTTAAATATCTTCATGGAGACCAAAGTAGACTAAGAAGTTACAGGTCAGATGTATTTTTCTAGGTATTTTTGAGCTATAAAACCACCTGTAATTGAATAAATGTAAGGCAGAGCTGTTTAATGTCCTACTGTGGAACATTCCAGGCAGAGCAATGATATTCATAGAAACAAACAGGTGACGGACCACCAACCGAAAAGTTACACAGTGCACCTTTAAGTCAAGGTTATTTTAAATTTTACTAAGGAAAATAAAATTAAACCTGTCTTTCATTTTCATGAAAAGCAGCACATTTCTGTCAGATGGAGAACCTTAGTGTGATTAAAACATTATTCATTTGTTGTGATACTGATTACTGCACCAAGTAATATACTTTTGTTATATATTTTTTGCAGGTCTAATTCAGAGTGCACGGTCTTTTATATTGTTCGGAGGATGGGGCTCAGAGGGGGGCTGCCTTCACTGCGTCTCCTCCTCAGAATAAGAATAGGCCCGAAATGACACAGCACTCACAAATATCACAGCCATTATTCAGAAAACAGGATTTCCAGAAAAGAGGAGAAGAATAAACAGATGATTTCACAGAAGGGAAAAAGAAAAAATGCAAAAATCAGTGTTCGTGTTCGAATCAGAGGAGTCAGATGGTCCGGTGGATACTGCTGTGTTTCAGATGACATCACAACATTCTATAGGCCAAGAATATAGTAAATTGTCAAATTTTTATACAGAGCTTTTTCACCTTCAAGGCTCTCAAAGTGCTTTACAACAAGAAACCACTCACCCATTCACACACCAGTGTACGCAGACAGTGAGGGCGAGGTGGGTTAAGTGTCTTGCCCAAGGACACAATGACAGTATTCATCTGTGGGAGCTGGAATCATACCAGCCAACCAGTGAACAACTGGATCTGAACGCTCAACCAATGATGTTTATGTCGAGAGCGGAATTAAAACCGCCAACCTTCAAATCAGTGGACAAACACCCTACCGACTGAGCTACTGTCACTCTATTTAAAGGTGCACTGTGTAACTTTTTGGTTGAGAGTCCATCATCTGCTTGTTTCTATGGAGATGTCATTGCTCTGCCTGGAAAGTTAATCTATTTTACATTAATAAATTACAGCTGGTTGTGTAGCTCAAAAATACCTAGAAAAACAGGCTTTCTGACTGAGCAGGGTCGCCTCTCCACAGATCTGACCTGTAACTTGGTCTGGTTTGGTCTTCATGAAGACAGAAAGCATTATTGTGAAACATTCCAATCAAAGCAATAACATCTTTATGGAAAAAAGCATTTGATGGATCCTCCACCAGAAAAGTTACACAATGCACTTTAAAACAGACGCAGGCAGTTGAAATGAATATTGTTAAAATGCAGATTCTTGATTTTTTGAGTTCTGGGGTCTAGTCACTAATAGAAATGATCAGGTTCAACATTTGTGAATTTATCTTTTGGATAGTTCATGGTAAAGTACAATCTAATCAATAGGGAAAAGTGGCTCTTGCCCCCGTCTGGGAGTATGATAACGCCACCTCCTCTTAATTCTGAATTTACAGCTCTGGAAAAAATTAAGAGACCTTGCTTCCTTCTGCTCTGACAATGTTCCCCAACTCTGAGGATTGTTTTTTACAGCAGGACAATGCTCCATGCCAAACAGCTAGGTCAATCAATGTGTAGATGAAGGACCACCAGATCAAGATCCTCTCATAGCCAGCCCAATCTCCAGACCTAAACCCCACTGAAAACCTCTGGAATGTGATCAAGAGAAAGATGAATGGTCATCAGGGTTATTCCACCAGATACTGATTTCTGAACTCTTCCTAAGTTAAAACATTAGTATTGTTGTTTTAAAATTAATATGATCTTCGCATTGTTTGAAGTCTGAAAACATTGCATCTTTTTGTTATTTTGAACATTTGTCATTTTCTGCAAATGCATGCTCTAAATAACTGTATTTTTATTTGGAATTTGGGAGAAATGTTGTGAGTAGTTTATAGAATGAAACAAAAATGTTCATTCTGCTCAAACAAATACCTGTAAGTAATAAAATCGAAGAAACTGATAATTTTGCAGTGGACTCTTTTTTTTTTTTTTTCCAGAGCTGTATTTATTTCCTCAGGGATCATGCCAAAAAATATTAATCTCATAAAAAATATATAGTATGTTGTGTGTCAGGTTTTAGTGTGCATCTCGCTAATGAAACTAGCACATCGCATCAGGTTTGTGAAGTTCTAGTATATAGTTTTGTATCCTGCTTTTGTATATGTATGAAAAATGTCTGAAATCATCCAAATGATTCTAGTGAAGGTGTATGGAGTTTAAAAACACAGTGGAGCACTTCCTGTATCACCACATGACACACAAATTGGAACAAAATGCTTTCTGTTTGAGAGAAGAACTCAGCCTAAATATGCAGGGTTTGTGTGTTAAACGTGTGAATGAAACAAAACACAACTCCAGGTCTGTTTGTGATGAGGAAACATTATAACACTGATCAGGAAACAGTGTAATATCAAACTCAAACTTTAGAGAACTCTCGTATTCAGGTGACGCAAATTTGACAATGACGCAAGAAATGATGGATTATTTCTTGTTTTTAATCAGATTTTAAAATTCCAAAAAGGAATCTCACATATTTGATCAAAGTTTATTTTAATACCTCCATACGCCTTAATATTCTTTGGCCAGAGGGAAGTAAACATTGATTTGAGCGTGTGCTGCTGCATTGATCAGACCGATTTAAAACACTGAATTTTAAAGTACAGCCACAGATTGTCAAAATATCCTTGTTTTCTCTGGTAAACATCACTCCCTCTGTTAAATGTTGGCCACACCTGGTTTTCACAAATTGGACCATAGTTTTGAAGTCTTGCCAAATGCCAAACAATTCATATTAACAGGTTCTTGTTCTTGTTCTTGCCTGTGATTTCTTCAGTATTAATACAAAAATACTGATATATTTAAAGGTGAACTGAGTAACTTTTCTGGTGGAGGGTCTGTCAGATACTTGTCTCCATGGTTATGTTATAGCTTTGTCTGGAACATTTCACAGTATGGCATTAAAGCTTTCTATCGTCATGGAGACCAAACTAGACCAAAATTACAGGTCAGATCTGTGGAGAGGCGACCCCGCTCACAGTCAGAATGCCTGTTATTCTAGGTATTTTTGAGCAATAACACTACCTGTGATTGAATAAATGTAAAGTAGAGCTGTTTAATGTCATACTGTGGAACATTCTAAGCAGAGCATTGGCATATCTGTAGAAACAAGAAGGTGATGGAGCCCCAACTAAAAAGTTACACAGTGGACCTTTAAAGGAATTGTATGTAAGATTTTGATTTTGATTTCATAAACTTGTCCTAAATCTGTCCCCACATATGAGGTAAACATTTCAAATCAAATATAGCTTTTATAACAATTGGAATTTGGTTTTGGTTCAAGACGATTATCCAATCAGAAAGCAGAATGAGCCTCACATGAGTCTCTCATTTGGGTTGCCAGTTTCAATGCTGAAATCCAGTGTGTTTAAAGCTAAAATGTCTGTCCCTGATATAAATAGTCACTACCTAAACCCCAGCACCTGCAGTCAATCCTGAATCAGTGCTAGTGCAGCCTCTGCAGCACAGTGAGTGAATCCTGGTCTTGGGATTGGTCTTGGCTGGTCTGTCCATATACTGAGAATAAGAAAAACTTGTCTTCCCTGTTCCATCTTGTGATGTCAGGAAGAGGTAGTTTTCAAGTTAACAGCTGCTTTTTACCTTTAGTTCAGAAGAGATTGGCAATTCCTGGGCTAAACTTTTCCAAATGATTCTAAAAAGCAAGTGTTTTCTGTTTTAGACAAGAACTCAGCCTAAATATGCAGGATTGTGTGTTAAACATAATGGAAGTTCTGAGTTTATACATGAGACACGGTCCGTCCACATACTGAGAGTGAGACAAACTTGTCTTCCTTTAACTGTCTGTTTTGTTAAACTTGATTCCCCCACAGACACATCTCTTCTCATCTGTACTTTCCTCATTAGATCAGCATTTTCTGCCTCTGCCACAGTCTGACAAACAGGAGACAGGAGCATAGATTGCATAAATGGACAAAGCTAACCCGCTAGCCGCCGCGTTCCAAATAGAAAGTGAGCAGTGGTGCGATTCAGCTTCATCGACTCCAATTCACTTTCTATTGAAAAACTGTCTCACCTCTCTCTATAACTGCTGCTGTCAGTCTCCTCATTTTGACTTTAAAATATTTGTACTCTCTGCATGATCCTGGAATTCACTATTTTACCTCTAAATCAACATATGAACATTAATAACAGACCGTTTGATTGACAGCGTTGTTTAATACCTTCAACACCCTCGCTCCTGACTGGCTCTTCAGTTTTGAGCTCGGAAATCCAAATATGGATCTCAGCACCAAATTAGCTGCTCTAACACCTAGCCTCGATTGGGTTCATTTGACTGGAGCTGAATGCTATGGGTGAGGTCACTACTCAGTTCTTTTATACAGTTTATGAGTAGGAGACAAGAGCAGGAGAGGCTGACATTTCCTCATTATATAAAACATGTTATTGAGTCAAATGTGTGCACCAGGATTTATGACATTTCAGAGCTACACATTTTACAGTCTGTGTAAAACATGACAGTTTTACCATAGAACAATGCACAGATTTACAGTGAAGGCAACAAAACAATCATCAGCATAAGGGATGTCAGATTTTACTATTCAAATTTACACTTTTGGTTGCCATGACAATTCAAATGAAAAATAAGTTTGCTATGGACTGTACGCTTATTAAAAAATAAAAAAAAAGTTTAAAATGTGTGTGTTCTAAAGTCATTCAGATTTTTACCATCTTAAAAACATGAAAAGTAGAATTAGATCATTTTAAAAGTTTTTGCAGTTGTCCTCACTTACCTTATGCATTCAGAGTATCCTAATTATTCACCACGATGAGTTTATAAGCACATATCACAACTCTCTGAGGCTGTGACAGTAACTAGCATGCTAACACTGCACCAGCTTTACTTCCTGATTCGCAGTCAAAAAAACGTTTTCTACTGAGACACAGACAGCACAGAGCAGTCTCATTTAGACCCTACAAGATGTGTGTATCTTTCTTGCTCATAACAATAAATAAGTATACTATAGTATAATATAGTGTAGTATAGTGTACAGTAGTATAGTTAGTGTAGTAAAGTATAGTATATTATAGTTAGGTAAGTATCGTGTGGAGAGAGCCGTACCTCCCCAGGCACTGTTGGTGTTGTGGACCGCAGGGATGAAGGTTGGCTGGAGGTCAAACAGGTCGCTGTTCAGAGCGGGAACGCTGCAAAACAAAACAAAAAATAAGAAATGATGAGAGAAAAGACAGAGTTAAAGGGTTCATATTACATTATTTTCCGATCTGTGTTATAATGTTGTTTCCTCATCACAAACAAATCTAAAGTTGTCTTAACAGAATGTAGCCCTTACTGAAAATGTAGAAGTGGGCAAGGTACAAACCTGAGGAACACCAGCTGAATATATTAAAAGTCCTTTATTACATGGAGGGATGCCAATGTGTTTCGAGCAGCAAGATGGTCTTCATCAGGGCAACAACCTAGATTTGTGTTTTACTTCATTCACACAAATGTTTAACACACAAACCCTGCATATTTAGACTGAGTTCTTTTCTCAAACTCAAAACACTCTTGGCTTGTGGTAATACAGGAAATGCTCCAAGTGCTCGACAATCTCTACTGAACTAAAAGGAAAAGGTACCATATTTTTTGCACCATTGGACATGCTCTTAAGCCTCCAACCCATCAAAAAACGACTGCGTGCCCCACAATCCAGAGCGCACTATACACGAATCCACTCGGTGTCCCAGCACGACTTCAGTAAACTACAAAGGCGCACCACCCGCAGAACACGCAAACACACACGGAGCAGACAGCGACCGTGCAGCCAAAAACATCCACAGCCACACTCATCACTCCACGCCAACGAGGAATGGACCAAAAAAAGCGAGTGCAATGTGCCACTTCTAGACACAACTGAACTACTGAGTCACTGCGAACACGCCGACAATCCAGCGGTCCCAGACAGCACCCTCCCTACACACCACAACTGAACAAAGCCCAGAGTCACTGTGAACGCGCCAAACAAAGTCCCACTGACCCATCTAACTGTTGTGTTTTGTTTAAAGTCTGGTGTGGTTTATTTGTGAAAAAAGTTTGAAAATAGACCATTTAATGATTTATAATGCAGAGCGCCTAATAGTGCGGAAAATACGGTAGCTGTTAACTTGAAAACTACCACTTCATGACATCATCACAAGGTGGAACAGAGCATTTTGAGTTTTTGAGATGTAGACTAATAAACCAGAATTACTCAAACATGTGTGAATGAAACAAAACACAACTCCAGGTATATTTTTGAGGTGGTAACAGCATTCTAACGTGACTAAAAGCTCATTAGAGTCAATTATATGTAATACGGGACCTTAAAAATGACTGATGTTGTTGTCCTTTGAGACAAAATTAACTTCCATACACGTTTGGTTTTCAGATTCTAAAATGTGATGATGCCATATTCCCAGATGGGGGCAAGAGTCAGATTTCTTCATTAATGGTATTTTCCAATGAAATATCTAAAAGGTAGGTAAATTCACAAATGTTGAACCATGTTGAACAGATTGCAGATTTGTTGACTTGGTTTATGGTTTGTATTTCTGTCATTACTGGGTCTATCCACATGAAACAAAAACAGGCTCAATGTTCACTGTCTTCTCTGTCAGAATAAATACAAAAGTGAAATTATTTTTGCACAATAGCTTCAGAAAGTGGTGCCATTATTCAACCCCAAAGACGCGATTGTTGTCAGTGGAAAGGACTTTAAAACATCAGATTAATACGACAAATTTGTGGAGCCGATCCCAAACAAATAATGAGAAGGTTCAACATTTGTGGATCATAAGTCTGCAGATTTCTTTCAAAAATAGCGGTAACAGGGAAAACACGCGAACTCCACACAGAAAGCCCCCTCTAGGACCTTTTTGTTGTGAGGTGAGAGTTCTAACCCCTGTACCACTAATCATTGGAGCAGGGAATGCAAGGGGAATTCAGAGAAGAATGCATCGAAAATCAAAGCTACAAGAGGGACCAAACCAGGGGAGTAAAAGCGTGAATTTTACATCGCGGTGAAGACAGCGAGTGAAGGAAGAGGTGATCGAAAGAGACGGATGGGGAGAGGGCATAAATATTTAATCTATGAAGCATAAAAAGCCGGAGTCACCACTAAAACTGTTCATTTGTGGAGAGGGAGATGAATCGCGAGGCTCTGTTTGGCTGTAAAACTTGGAGGGAGCAGAGAGGAGCAGACGAAGGGTAAATCGTGTGGGATTATCCAGAGTAAATAAAGGAAAGTCGATTACAGAGGCTGCTCTGTGCGAAACTCTGTGTGATTAATAACATTTAGAAGGTTTTCAATGTAATTATTTACTGTTGGTCTGGTTCAATTCACATTACAAAGACTTAAAGGTAACTATAGTGTTTTATATTGTTGCTAGTTGTTAAGGGATTAACTCAGTTTTACATGGGGACAAGGTATTTAGTATATTCAGTTGATACTTTGCAGCTTCTTCTCCAGCATGATGCCACTGCAAAGTATCAATAAATAATGTAATATAAGACACCATCATTACTATATATTAAGAGAACCCACTCTAAGAAATCTTTAAAGTCAATTTTGCATAGTTTCTTGCATGTTAAATGTTGTTTCCTCATGAAAAACATGCCTGAAGTAGTTTTATACTATAGTAGTACCATATTTTTCGGACTATAAAGTGAACTGGATTATAAGGGGCAATATCAGTAATGTTGAATTCTCTCATTTATTTTCAAACATAATGCGCACCAGATTATAAGGCGCATTAAGTGAAACAAATGAATGACACTTGAGACTGATCCCTCAGCCCAGGCATCCACAATCCATTAGCAGATCGTGGTGTAATTCGCCCGGCGTTGCCTCCCTGTCTTGGTGAATGTCTATTATGAATGTGAATGTGGGTGGATAATTTAAGTTAGTTTTTTTTATTTCCTATGAGGACTACTCAAATACACATTGAGTAATAATGTGTTTAATGCAGGTTTTCTCACATTTGTTTATTTTTTACAGAAACGAAACTTAAAACCACATGGCTTATTTGCAAAAACTATAAGCGATATAAAAAACAGCCTCGCTCCTTGTGTGCTCATATGGTCAGTGTCTGTTGGACTGAAGAACAACATTCAGTGGATTATATGTGAAAATGGGTTCGAGGTAAGGCGCACCAGATTATAAGGCGCACTGTCAATTTTTGAGAAAATTAGGGGATTTTAAGTGCGTTTTATAGTCTGAAAAATACAGTAATCTTGCAATGTCTCCCCAGCCCTATTTGAACCCTCCTTATGGTTATCAGTACAAGACTGTACAAGGCTCCGCCCACAAGCCTACGTCACTTATGCTCTGAAATGAAAATTCTCCATAAATATACAAAAAATTATCCAGAACAATACATTAAAACTTGGTGTGATGTGCAGTAGTTTCATTAGCAGGACGCATTGTGTTGCTCTGAAGGGGGAGTGACTTAACATGAGAGCAAAGAGTGGCAGCTATAGCATTTTCAAAGCAAACAAACATTGTAACACGGTGATCTCAATGTCATGTGTTAAGAATTGCATAACCCTTCTTTCATTCTTAAGACGATCCTGAGCTAGCACCATAGACTGCATAAACAAGTGGACTAAGAGAGTGTGACATCACCCACAGCATTCGGCTCCAGTCAAATGAAGCTCACAGGGCCTGCAGTTATAGGTGCAAATTTGAGGCAGAGTTAAATATTAGGACTAGGAATTGATTTATGGACAAATTAGTGAAATAAAAACACCAGGATCATGTAGAGCAGGTTAATATGTATATTTTAAGACCAAAATGATGATGATGATTGCAGTAATTACAGAAAGCATCAAGTACCTGTTAGCATTGAGCGTGGAGGTGAAGAGCTCCGGGGAGGGGGCGACGTGGTTGTTGTTGAAGCTGCTGATGGAGGCAGAGCTGGGGGAGGCGGAGGGGGGAGTGTGGGCCCCGATCTCCTTCAGGCGCTGATCCTGGAACACACAAACAACATGTCATCTTAAGTTTTTTTTTTTATCAACAATCACGTCTTTGGGGTTGAACAATGGCACCACTTTCTGAAGCTACTGTGATAAAATAATTTCACGTTTGTTTGTTTATTTTGACACAGAAAACTGGACTTTTGAGTCTTGTGGATAGACCCAGTGGTTGAGAAATTAACCATAAACCAGGTCAACAAATCTGCAATCACAAACCTTTAGTAGTTAAGTAGTTTCTGGAATATTTTTGTAATGTAAAGTGCACATGACAAGTTATACTACTCACTGAGTAAGACACAGTTGACATCATCATCATTTCCAATTTTTCTAAAAAATACGTTTATAATTTTACTTCCTGTTTGGACATGGGCAGCAGATGTGATAGAGGTAATTGCATGACTGTAACTAAGCAACCATAATGTTAACAAGGGCCAAAATCGGTCTAAATTGTACAAAGGTTATAATTAAACCAATAGAAAAATAAATGATAACACCTTTATAAATGACAACAGCAGGCCCTCCAGCTCGTGGTGCTTAAAAGACGAGATTTAAAACCGGGGGGACAGGGGTCTTCTCTGTGGTCGGCCCTAAGCTCTGAAACACTCTGCCCCCCCATGTCCCAACAGCTCCCACAGTGGAGTGTTTTAAGTCTTGTATTAAGACCCACTTTTACTCTGTGGCTTTTATCACTGCATAAGTTGTGTGATGTGTGGTCCTCTGTGTCTTTTAATTTCATTTTATTTGATTGTATTTTTTAATTTTAATTTTAATTTTATGTTATTTTATTTTATTTTATGTTATTTAATTTAATTACATGTTATTTATTTTATTTTTATTTATTGTTTTTATTAATGATTTACTGTCTTTTATTGTATTAATTTGTCTGTGCAGCACTTTGGAAACTGTCATGTTTATAATATGTGCTATAGAGATAAAGTGGATTGGACTGGAATGGATTTTGTTAAATGAGGGATTAAACTGTCAGAAAAAACGCTTTCCTTGTGTGGAAATTGAGTTTTCTGTGTTGAAGACAAAGGATTCAGCACATTTTCAGGAGCCTGTGATCAGTACAAGTGTTCATAGTCCTGTTTAGGAATTTGATTTTCAACAAAATCAGTGATAATGCTAGGTAGCTTGTGACCGTAATCTTCTTTCCTGTTGTAATTAAAACAAAATTCTGATTAAAGTCTAACTTGAGTACCAGAGCTTCAAAGCACTTACAGTTAGTGTCACACCTCCAGAGAATGTTGATGAGACAATTGCTGTAATCTGATAACTCCACAAATTTGGCATCAGTCTCTTGCTATTTCTGTTACTTATTTATAATTTATAATTCAATTTATCTTCATTATTATAATATGCTGTGAGCTACAGTGTTCAAATAATTTCCCTTGTGGATCAATAAAGTTTGTCTATGTCTAAGTGTAAGTCCCAGTCTAAATCAGATAATGATCAGATTTTGGTGCGTGTAAACAAAGCCAGTGTAATCTCCTCTTTCTCCATCACTAAACTATCACAGAAAAACACTATTTGGGGTTTGGGGAAGACTATTGGGAGCCAGGCATTTAACATTAGAGGCGTTCACTGTCGACTCAAGCGGTGGGAAAAACACTTCCCTCTGAGCTGTTGTGTAAATACAGATGTTGGTCTCACCACAATAGCGGAGCACGAGGTTGTGTCATAAGTCTGATTACTAAACAAGATAATTATGATGCTTTTACGTATTTGTAATGACTGAAACATAAACAGAGATAGAACAGCTTTGGAGGGACAGACGAGAGCGCTCACTAGGGAGCTGAAAAGTGTAAAGATGAGAAGTCAATCGTATTTTGGTTCACACAGGTTTGATACTACTGCTACTACTACTCCTATTGCTGCTATTACTACTATTGCTGCTACTGCTACTACTACTGCTATACTACTGCTACTACTGCTATTATTACTGCTACTACTGCTATACCACTGCTACTACTATTACTGCTGCTGCAATTACTTCTGCTACTACAGCTGATGATATTACTACTGCTACTGCTACTGCTGCTGCTGCTGCTACTACTACTACTACTACTACTACACAAAGTTCACTATAAACACTACAACTGCAGCCAATGACATGCTACCATGCAGGAAATATATATAGCTATATATAGCTAAATTAATGTTTGGTGTCATGCTTAAAACCTAAAAACTGTAAGAAAATACACACTTTCTGCTAGATCAGCGGGAGCCGTACAAGATGTATTCCCTTGAGTTTGAAAAATCTTGGGCTGTATACCTTTAGTCGTTCAGTCGATTAATCAGTCCAGTGGAGTCAGTGTGAAAAAGTGAAGCCAAAAGTGTGATCTGAACTGCACAATTTATTTATTAAAGGTCCCTATTATACAAAATTGACTCTTGTGAGCTTCAAGATAGGTTATAATGTTTTACCTCATGAAAAAACATACCTGAAGTTGTGTTTCTTTCACACATGTTTGAGTAATCCTTTATTATTAGTCTGTCCACATCTGCAAACCTCAAAATGCTCTGTTCCAACTTGTGATGTCGTGAAGCAGTAGTTTTCAAGATAACAGCTCCTTTTGCTTCTTGTTCGGCAAGAGATAGACAATTCCAGTGCTGGAATGGTCCAAAATGATTCTAGTGAAGGTATACTGAGTTTAAAAACACAGTGGACCACTTCCTGTATTACCACATGACATCACAAGGTAGATCAGAACATTCTGAGCTTTTGTTTAAGAGAAGAATTCAGCCTAAATATGCAGGGTTTGTGTGAATGAAACAAAACCCAACTCCAGATTTGTTTTTGATGAGGAAACAACTTTATAACAGATCAGAAAATAGTCTTTAAAAATGATGTAAAAATGGACAGAATCTCATGTTTTGTCTAGAGGCAATTGTGTCTTATCCCATCTTATTATAAAGACATTTTATTGTACATGTATATGCAAAAACGCCCCGACAGACCATTCAAATGTAAAATAAACCATCCATGTTTATGTGTATATGCTGTCCACTGTGCTCCACCTCCTCAAAGTCTTTACATGATCAAACCCGCAGAACACACATCTCTGTCTCCACTCTATGTCCCTCTGGGCGCTATTACATTTGGCTTTGAAAATACCCCATTTCTTTTACACTGCAGCTCTGGCGGTCCGGCGGGAGCGTGCAGTGGAGAGAAGAAAAGTTTGTTTGGTCTTTTAAATTCACGAGACAGAATGCTTAAAGAGAACCAGGGCAATTTACAAACAGGAGAGGAGCAGGGAGGGCAAGGGCCTCAGAGGAGATGGTAATGCAGACGGATACCTGCTTAAACATGGGCCAGAGAAGACGATATGTGGTAAAGAGAAAAGCTGGGTGCGTTTATGGAGTATTAATACTTTGCAGCTGATGTCTTCAACTTTTCTTGGTGGTGTGATGCTAACTAGAAGCACTGCTCTGTCTGAGGTTTTGTTAGACTTTAATCTGAGCTTTATTTTGACACAATCTGATCAGAAAGAGCTCAAACAGGACTCCTAAACAAGACCATGAACGCTCATACGGATCACACTCATGAAAAAGTGTTGTAATTTTCAGAATTATCTTGAAACTTCTGTGGCAGTGCTTGCTACTGTGTGTATTGTGACACCATGGTAACTGCTCAACATCCCTCCATAGACATACATGCAGAACACAGTTTGATCACACCACAAAGCATCAGTACGTGAAAAATGAATAGAATAGGCTGCGTTCACGTCCTAGAATTGCATAATGGCATAATCTCAGATGCAGGGCAGGGGCCTGTGTCACTCTATGGTAGATTCACTGTATTTGAAAGAAATTTATGATCCACAAATGTTGAACCTTCTCATTATTTGTTTGGGATTGGCTCCACAAACTTGTCATATTAATCTGATGTTTTAAAATCCTTTAAACTGATGACAATGACATCTTTGGGGTTGAATAATGGCACCACTTTGTGAAGCTATTGTGAGAAAATCATTTCACCTTTATTTATTTATACTGACAGAGAAGATGGATAGCAGATATTAATAATACAGCAGGTCAACAAATCTGCAATCTGACAGTTACACAATAAACTCCACCATAGATCTTTGACCTCTCTGCAGCTCAGTTTAAACTACAAGGGGTTCTACAATGTACTACTACTACTACTACTGCCACTGCTACTACTACTACTACTACCACTGCTGCTACTACTACTACTACTACTACCACTGCTGCTACTACTACTACTACTACTACTACTACTACTACACTGCTGCTACTACTACTACTGCTACTACCACTACTACTACTACCACTGCTGCTACTACTACTACTACCACTGCTACTTCTACTACTACTACTACTAACACTGCTACTACTACTAACACTGCTACTACTACTACTACCACTGCTACTACTACTAACACTGCTACTACTACTACTACCACTGCTACTTCTACTACTACTACTGCCACTGTTGCTACTACTACTACTAACACTGCTACTACTACTACTACCACTGCTGCTACTACTACTACTACTACCACTGCTGCTACTACTACTACTGCCACTGCTGCTACTACTGCTGCTACTACTGCTACTACTACTACTACTACTACTACTACTACTACTACTACTGCCACTGCTGCTACTACTACTACCACTACTACTACTACTTCTACTACTGCCACTACTACTACTACTACTACTACCACTACTGCCACTTGTGCCACTGCTACTACTACTACTGCCACTACCGCCACTACTACTACTAATACTACCACCACTACTACTGCCACCGCTACCACCACTACTACCACTACTACCACTACTACTGCCACTACCGCCACTACTACTACTACTAATACTACCACCACTAATACTACCACCAATACTACTACTACTACTACTTCCCTGTTAAGTATTTCAGACTATGACACTTGTCTGTTTGACATGTGTCTTGTTCATTTGTATCCAGACTGTGTTAAACAAATGGGCTCTGTTCTTACTGT